CGACCTGAAAAGTCCTGCCATGCTGGGTTTGCGTAGACCGTCAGAATGCCCACACATGTACGCGATCTGTAGTCGGGATTCACGCGGTGGCGATTACATTGGGTTCAGTCGCCGCGAACGAGCAGTGTCGTGTGATCCAACAGGGATTTCTCTTCGTGAGTCTGATGTGTGATAGGGAGTCTATGACGTTCGGGGCCATTTGATTGTGACGTTTGATTGGGTCGTGTGATGAAGGCGGAGATCGCCTCTATGTCGTGCTCTCTCTCTCTTGCTATCTCTTTATCTCTCTTTCTGTCTTTTATCTCGTTCGTTTCACTGCGCTTGTCTGTGTCGTTCGCACAAATTTTGCGAACGTAACTGACAAGCGTAGACAAACGAACGAGACAGAACCAACAGCGTCGTGTTCCACCACCATCGTCGTCTGTTTTCTATCAGTGCCTCTATGTCGTTCACCTTTTCCGTCGTCCTGCTTTCGCAAATCTAGTTCCATTGGCGACCATTCGCCCCGATCAGATGGCACACTCACACGTCCACGTGGCAGGTCCTGAACAAGCGTGGGCTCGCTGATGGATGCGGGGCTCTATGCGGCAACAGAATGTTGTTGAATAGAGCCCCGCACCCATCAGCGTGGCCATGCATGATCACGACTGGACACATGGACGTGTGTGCCGTCGGGTTCAACTACCATCTTCGTCCCCGTCGTTAGTTTGTCTTCAGCGCCTCTATTTCGTTCGTCTAATGCGTTGGCCTGTTTCTTCCGCGAACGTACCTTGGGGTGCGTTTGCGGATCTCGTTCCATTGGCGACCACTCGCCCCGATCAGATGGCACAGTTAAACCTCCACGTGCCAGTTCCTGAACAAGCGTGTGCATGCTGATGGATGCGAGGCTCTATGCGGCAGCAGAAAGGATGCTAGGCTGCAATATAGCCCCGCACCTATCAGCGTGGCCACGCATGTTCATAACATGACATGTGGACGTGTGAGTGTGCCATCTGATCGGGGCGAGATGAAGGAGTTTCGGGAGCAAGAATGCATGCGTTTGATTGGCGATCACTCGCACCGATCAGATGGCACACTAAGACGTCCACGTGTCATGTCCTGAACAAGCGTGGCCACGCTGATGGATGCGGGGCTCTATGAGACAAAGGGGCTCTATGCGGCAGCAGAATGGATGCGAGGCTCCAATACAGCCCTGCGCCCATCAGCGTGGCCACGCATGTTCAGGACATGACATGTGGGCGTGTGAGTGTGCCATCTGATCGGGGCGAGATGAAGGAGTTTCGGGAGCAAGAATGCCTGCGTTTCATTGGCGATCACTCACAATGATCAGATGGCACACTCAGACGTCCACGTGTCACGTCCTGAACAAGCATGGCCACGTTGATGGATGCGGGGCTTTATCTGATCGTCGCCTTGCATGTTCAGGAGCTGTCACGTGGACATGTGAGTGTGCCATTTGATCGGGGCGAGTGGTCACCAACGAAACGGGACCCGCGAATGCAGCCCGAGAATGTTGCGACACGCACTTCCAGATTGTGTCGTCACTTCAGATGTTTTGTTGAAGTGCTACTCGCTTGTTGTCAATTTGTTGTCTCTCTCACAAACTGCGATATAAGAATTTCAGTTGTATGTTGTCGAACAAGAGAACATGGTTTCTTACGAATCGCGTCTCTTCTGGATTGCACATGGACTTTCTTCTCGCCGAATAAATTTTTATTGCGCTCGGTTTGTTTATTCGTTTTCCGGGTAAGTCGCGTCGTGCAGTTCGCTCGGCGTTCGGTTCTGTATCCGTAAAATGTCCTCCACATTCATCGAATTTTTCACATTTTTCGCCAATCTTCCTCTCGCCGACATGAACAATTTTTTCTTAATTTTTTTTTGTGCCGTTTTATTAACGGTCACATTGCGAATTCCGAAATGGAAAACACCATCCGCAGGATCTGCACATGGAGAGACAGAGATTTAAAGACAGGCTCTCTCGCTGTGCATCCTCTCCTTGTCGACGCCTCTATCGATCTTAGTCTCCCTTCCGTGTCTATGCGGGTTTTCTGCCTTTCTCCAATCTTTGTGTATCGCAGACAGTCGCTCAACCGATCTCAGGTTGGTCCCCCCCTGAGTGCAATCACAGATCAGTAGTCCGAAGACTGCTACACCAGATTCGAAGACACAGGAGGCGAACGTGAATTCAAATCTTTAAACCCTATCAAACGTCGCGTCAGCCGAACGCCGCGAGGAACCCTTCCCTTGACTTGGACATAGGACAGGACACGGAGCGATCAGATGCTCATAGGGTATTGTCGACGGCGACATGTTTGACCAACCAGGAGGACGACAGCCCACCCTGTCCATACCATCTTGTGGTGGCGCAACAACTGACGTATCCGAGCCATCCTTGTTAATTTCGGTTGCATCTGAGTCACAACCCACTAAAACTCACGGGGCGACCACTAACCGAGGCACCTCGGCGAAGTTCGGATTAATCCGAACCACACTGACGACAAATTTGGATTTGTCACATGCTCAGACGGTATTTACGACGCCGCACGTTCCCATAAACGTAAACGATTAAATCACACGTTGTCAAAAGACCGTTCCGTCTCGGATTAATCCGAACCACACGTCCGACAGGATAGGGTCCACCCTCTGCTCACAGGTCATTGAGGAAAACACGCCGTGCCGATGTCCTCCTCTTGTGGTCGGCCTAATTCGGATGCATCCGAGTCACAACCTCGGTCTTTCGACTCTGCCCAGTTCGGATGTGTCCGAACTACCACGCTGTCTTCGTCTTCTAGAAAGCTGCCTCGGATTCATGCAACTAAAACGAGTCAAGATGGTTACGCTCGGTGGAAGAAAGACGAGCTAGAAACTTGTGCTGCGACTACAACAAACGTGTCTGTTGTTTGGATTGGGAGAGCAACAACCAACTAAAACTCACGACGACGACGATATCCCCCGTGATGACGCACAAATTATAATGACACATTACGGCAATCGCGGGGAGGTCCACTGTGTGGTGGAGCGACAACAAAGCGAGGCGCCTCGGCGAAGTCGGATTAATCCGAACCACACCGGTGGCATTTTCGGATTTACCACATGCGCAGAGGGTATTGACGACGTCGCATGGTCTGATAAACTTGTACGTCGAAAGCACACGGTGTCGGCGCAGCCTGTCGTGGTCGCACGTATCGGGACAGCCTCTGTCGAAATCGGATAAATCCGAGCCACACCCGTCTTAAACACTCAAGGACGAAGACACACCGTGCGAAATTCGGTTGGACCCGGCGACAGTTGGGGAATAACGGAAGCTTGGATGGCTGGATGGGCGTCAACAGACCGTGGGGTCCATCCGCCGGTCCCCGTCTCAGATTAATCGGAGCCACATTTGCGAAGTTCAGGTTCAACCGAACTGAACCTCCGGCAGGATAGGGTTAACTCAGTGCTCGCAGGTCAGGGGCGAAAACACGTGCAGTAGATGACCTCTTGTGGACGACCGTCTCTGGACCGCGCTGTTCGAATTCGGATGCATCCGAGTCACAACCGTTACCGACTCAGAAGGACAAGAAAACTCGAGTTCGGTTTCGTACGGGCCGATAGGGGGAGGTCCACACCGCTTTGGAGCTCGGATTCATCCGAACTACAACGGCGGACTTTACAATCCACTTGTCGACTTCGGGTGACAACGTATTCGCCTTCGTCTGCCGTATCAGCGTTCTAGTGCCTTCTTGCGAGGTGTTGCTTTTCCCGGGGCAGGTGCCTATGCGACATCGGTTTTTCGACTGCGCCTGCTTCAGATGTATCCGATCTATCCCACGGTCTTCGTTTTCGAGCATTCGTTCTCTTAAGGGCAGTGCGACGAGGATGGCTGACGATGCCTCGGATTCATCCGAAACGTGCAGGCTTGTGGACCACTGTCGTCTAACTATGACTGAACTTCTTTCTTTTGGAGTCCGGGTGACCGATAACAAAATACGTGCCGTGGGTCGTGGTTGATGTTGGGACGTGCTGACTGTTCTGAGTGTATGTGGGTTCATTTCCTCCGTGTGTTTCAGGGAATGGCTTCACACGGACGAGGCCGCTCCGCTGGTGGTTCTGCCCCGCACGGAGAGGAGCGTCGAGGGATGACGTCGTCGCCGGCAAGGGAAACGAGTCGGGGAGTTGAAGGTGGGGAGGAAGAACGACGTGCTCAAAACTTGTGGTGCGACTACAGCAAACGTGTCTGGTATTTGGACTGGGCGAGCCAGGACGGCTCCGACCCGTTGCAACCACCGTGCGGGCCGCTCTTGTTCGTTGCCGTTCGCGCCGACAGAACGCGTCTCGCAGGGTCCATCGTCTAGTGGGTCGACGATGGCGGATACAATTTCAAGTTTACGTTGAAGAAGCATTACAGAAGTGATGGTTCTGTCAACGGCATCGCAAAGGGATGCAAGGTTACCGGGAAGATGTTCGGCGGGTACGACCGTCGTGCGATGTCTTTGCCTCACTTTCTCCCGCTAGCGCCGGGGCACAACGAGGCCGTTCACGTCACAGACTTCCTGAAGGTCTGGGCGAAATCTGGTACATATGTCAGTGCCGTGGACGTCGGACCTGGAACATCGATCAGTGGTCCTGTTGGGTTCGCGGGAGGAGAGTGCTCTGAAAGGGAGATGGGAGGTCAGGGTGGCCTGCCAGCTACGCCTCCTGATCAAGAGGTGGGCATGTCAGACGACTTGGAGGACGACCATCCCCGTGCTCCTTTGAAACCGGGCTTGCATGTATCTCGCCGCCACGGTTTGCTTGGGGAGTCCACGCCACATGGAGGCGGCGATGGCGAACGGTTGCGACAGGGCTCAAAATCGACGACTCCTCGTTGTCTGGTCGAAAGGATCGGTTCGTTCGTTCGTGGCCTGCAGGTGGCCGAGGTTTCGCCTGGAGATCGAGCGGGTGGTGCGCAGGTTTGAGAGGTGCGTGGGTCAGATGAGACGACTCGTCGGGCCCGACCAGCGCCGGGGGAACTGCAGGCGGTGTTGAGCCAGGAACGAGAAGCAAGTGGGAACGTCGCCGGTGAGGAGGAGGTGTCCGAGCAGGGGCTGTTCCGTGAGAGATCGGCTGAAAAGACTCAGTTGGGAGGCAAGCGCAACTTGCCGGATGAGGAAGAGCGAGAGGGACTAGGTGCTCTGAAAAGGTAGAGAAAGGTAGGAGGGAGTGCTCGGACGCCAACAACACGAGAGGGCGGTTCCATTGAGAAGAGGAAAAGGGTTGGAGGTGGGGATGAAACGCCAAAAGACTCGTCGACACAATGAAGAACCGGTGAGTCTTCCGCGAAAAGGGCGAAATCATCGAGGGGGAAGAAAGCAGACGAGGGCGATAGCGGGGAGGGGGATGATGACGTGGAGATTGACCTCAACGCCTTTAACCTCGACAATGCATTCTTCCTCGAGATGCAGACAGGGGTGCAGAAGGACGTCGTGTTGCACATCCATCCCGAAAGAATATTAGCTATTCCTGACTGGGAAGACGCGTAAAACCACCGATCCTTGGACGAGTTCCTCGTTGATACCATCGCGTCGGCTATGATCGACTGCTACGAACGTAAAGACATGAGATACACAAAACCCATTTTCGTTCTCGCTCCGATCGTCGCGCCTCCAGAGAACGGCGAGCCTGCTGTGCGCGTGCTGCCGGCTGACTTCGACAGCTCACACCCGGAGAGATACTGGTATTATCCTGTGTGTGGACAGCATAACGCGAGGGCGACGATGATGGTGAAAGACCATCCCGTGTTTGATTACTACAACTTCTGTAAATGGTCGTTCAGACCGATCTACTTCCTTGACGACGAGTTCGACGGCTACGCCCATGTCAGCTGCGAAGACAACATGAAAGACAACCGCGCTTGCAGGTTTTATCTATGCGGGACATTCGCAATATCTGGAAAATTAAGGGCAAACTGCGTGTGGTGCTCGGCAATGCCTCGAAGAAACAGGACGAGGTGCGAAAGTGGGTGCGGTTCATGGCGTTGGCAATGAAGAAGACGCCGTACACACCTATCTGGAACCTGTCAACGAAGCAAAGAAAAGAAAGGAATGGGCTGAGAAACTTCGATACTACCTCCCGCTGGCCATGGCAGATGACTCCGTCTTCGCTTTGGGGTTGAAGTTCTATGAGGAGTGGTCGAAAGGGAAACTCCTTGCTTCCGACGGCCGGCGTTGGACTGAAAAGTCGCCCACCCATGAGGAGGTGGCCAAGCCAGGACTCTCCACTGTGACTGACAGGCAGGGGCTGAAGAAACACGTCTGGTACGTGAAGGTGGACGACCCGTCGTTGAAAAAGGGCAGGGGGAAGCCAAAGAAAGGCGCGGAGGAGAAAACTTTCTATGTCCAAGTTCCAGAGCCGGATGTCCACTGCTGGAAGGAATTGGTGGACTTGACGGACCGCGAGAAGAAAAGACTGTTGAATGGCGTCTTAAACCTTAACGTCGTGTGGGTTCAAACGAGTAGCAAAAAGTTGGTCGAGCAGGGGAAGTTCAGTGTCAAGGAGATGGTCGACATAATAAAAATGGACCGGATTATGCTGGAGCTGTGGCACTACGTGGAGTTCGAGTACGAGGAAATGGATAAGCGGGAGTGGAATGCCAACTCCATGTTCTTCAGGTCCAAGAAGCAACTGTTCGAAGAGTTCAAGGACAGAGGTCTCGACGACAAGCTTTGGAACGAGAGCAGGAAATTTTTCACGGACACCACATACGTCAACAAGTGCCCTCAGTTTCTCGGGTGTCAACACGACAACAACATCAAGAGAACGGCGGCCCTCGTCAACGACCAGCATTTCCCGGCGGAGTGGAAGCGTGTCGTCCTTTCGGTGATCACTGGAGATCACGCCAAAGGCAAAAAAAAACCTCGGGGCATTGATGAATGCATCAACATTATGTGGACAAGGACAAGCGCCTTCACGACGCTGGCCCAGTTTAACGTCGACCCGTTGAGTGCCATAGATCATAAGCAGGCGCTGGGAAAACTAGGGCATCAGCTACGCTCCCACACTTGCGTGCTCGACTTGTGCGGTGATGTGGACCGTGTTCAATGGGACTCTGGGGCATTCGCGTCTCTGAGTGAGTTGCTGGGCTTCGTTTGTCAGAACTACTGGACATTGGTGGTATTCGTCCCCTGCCTGTGGAACCTCTCCTTCATGACATGTTTGTCTGCGCTTGGGGCTACCTGATGCTACACGGGGAAGTGGGTTCGGAAGACGGCATCGAAGAAGACGCATCAGTTCGGAAACAACGTCTGGGAGGAGCCGGATGTGATGCGCATCCTTTTTAAAGGCGAGGATCCTCGGCTACTGACTCACCCGGTGTACGAGGGAGCTGTTGCTGAAGACGACGCCGCCGCTCTCCGGAGGAAGCAGAAAGTGACACCCACGGATGTGGAGGAGAAGTCTTTCAAGTCTTTGACTTTCGCGGACATCGGAAACCTGATCCAAAGGGGGGCTCTGTACAAGGATAGCGAGCGGAATCCGAATCAGTTGTGCAATCAGCTTCTTTTCTTCTGTGGTGTGGCGGATGCCGTGCTGTTCTTGGGCAAGCCGCACGCGCAAGTGGTGTGGAGTCTGCTTCAGCAGGGAAGGCACGTCTTGGCCGTGGATGTGGACACAAACTCGAATACACCGTGCAGTATGTCACCCATGAAGTGTCGTCCAAGACTTACCCATGCAATTTCCACCATGTCGTGGTCGAGCCCGTTTATGACCCGAACAAGGACATGTTCTTCAAGTTGACTCCAAAGAAAAGCCGCCAGGTCTACTCCTTCCTTTACGGCGAACAACCAAGGTTGAGATTTGACCCGCAGTACGTGGTGCGGAAGGAAGTTGCCATTGCGGTCCTCCAGGGCTACCACGGAGCGAGTCGGGCCAGCGCTGTGAGCTTCATTAAGAGGTTGGAATATGTTTTTTTTAACGAGGATGTTGTCGATCCGGCCGACTTCACTTTGGATAAGTACAAGCTGGTATTCAGTGAGGAGGACGACTTCAATATCGAGACTGAGCAGGAGGAGAGCGTTGAGGACGACCTCTTCGATTTGGACGGGCAATTCGCCATCTTCAACGCCCAAGTTTCTGAGTCGCCATCAGTATGCAAACCGGGGACACCTCTCGCTACACCTACCTCGGGCGGTCCCACGCCCGTGTCCTCCTGAGCGCCTGTCAAGAGGGGTGGGTTGTCCCATCTGAGGAGTTCGCCGGGGAAGCCTATTTGTCTCACGCCGCAGCCCGAACATCTTCGACCCGGCCATCCAGTTCCTGCGGACCATCCGCATCTCAAGGCTCATGCGACTTCCTTCCACATGGGCGACAAACACACCTTTTCCACAGCCGAAGATTGGGGCCATGATATTGTGTGGCACCCAGACCATTTCCAGCCAGTCCTTCTCGACGACGAATGGGCAGTGGCTGTGAGGGACGTAAGTGGAGGGTGGATATATGACGATCGTTGGGACCTCGAGACATTCAAATCTCGCGCCTACGATGCGGTATTGGAGAGATTAAATGAGGTCAATCGACGAAATAAGGACGACCTTGCTCTTCGCGAATACGGGGACACACTGTTCGAGTTCTTGCAGTCAAATAAATGGCTAGAAGTGTCCTCCGCGTTCTACGCCCTTCCGTCAAGCCCGTCAATTAAGCAAGTGAGTTGGGAGTTGCTTGGGGTCACCCCGCCGGCAGGAGTTGTGAAGCGCAAGTCTCGTGGAAAGAACGATGACGGGGATGGTGAAGGCGGCGGGCAACGAGGTACCGAAGGTGGAAGTGAACAGCGATCGATGAAACAGCGGTCTCCGGGGCACGCAGGCGGCGAAGAGGGGAGAAAGGGCAGCCGGGAGAAGAAGAAGCCTCGCAGCGGAGAGAAAACAAAGTATCACAGAGGAGACGGGCAGGGGTCCGATGTCGACCGCGACGAGGACGGTGGGGTTCTGGCAGTAACAAGCAGCACCTCAATGGAGATGGGGAACGACTTGAGGCCTGGGTGTATTACGTGGCCTGGCGAGCAGGATCCTGTGATTAGCTCCACCAGCGAAACACAGTTTGTCGATGCGGTTGGCGGGGCGGATGTCGCAAAGCATGGAACATGCTTCGCTCAGCTCCAAATACGGTTAGCGGATTGTCTCGGATCAATCCGAACCTCGGAGACGACCTCGTTGTCCGGAACTCAGTGCCTTCCGGGAAGCGAGACGACAACATACCACAGGTCCGGCAGCGACAAGCTGGAACCGTGTTCCGTTTCGCCTCAAAAGGAATTTTGGATTAATCCGAACCGCGAAGGCACAGCTGTCTACAGAACTCGAACGGGTGGTCCGTGTTTCCGAAAACCCTGGCAACGAAATTCGGATTCATCCGAACCAGGAAGCCATGTCTGCCATGACAGACGATCGGTGTCAGGATGCAGTAATGTTGTACGTGGAAGCCCACAAGTAGCTGCAGGCGAACTGTCCGACTGAGGGTGAGTTGGCGACCAGTTCCAATGTTGAGCCCAACACACTCGAAGCCGAGTTAGCAGTCGTAAGCAACTCCCCGGTGAAAGCGGTCATGTCGGCGTCATTGGAAACTGCGGGGGCTCGGATGAATCCGAACCAGGGCCCTGTGAACATGTCCCTCCGTGATGCATCTTTGGAGACGACCGTGATTCGGCTTCATTCGAGGCATTCGGACGAAGGACTTCAACTGGCGGGCGTTGAGGGTTGTCGACTACTGACGACTTTGGACAAGGACAATTCCGCCGACGACCGGATTGATCCGACACTTAGCGACGTCGGGATTGAGCTACCAGTTCAGCCGGGATACGACGATCCCTTGTACTCTGCCCTTCCCAGCACGATTGGCACCCCTGCGCGCGTCGACGCGGCGACGACGTGCTCCAAACCCACAGGGAAACTTGACAGGCTCGAGATGTCGGCGTCGATGACCGTAGACGGTATATTCGTCTCCGGACAAAGAGCGTCGACGTCCACAACATCGACAGGTTGTGTTTTCTCCATTGCCACTGTGTCGTATTGTGTTGGGCTCAATGTCCCATGGATGTCCAACAACACCTCTCCCCCCCTTAACTTCTTGTCCCCGTACGCTGTGTCTTTGTCGTCGTCACTCAAATAGAGAAATCTATCTCCAACAGCGTCAGAGGCCTTCTTCAGTTAGGCCTGGTAAGCACTGACTTTCTCTGCTTTCTTCCCGCTCGTCTGCCCGTTCGTGAAGTGTTGTTTGCTTCGTCGATTTCGGGGAGGTGTATAGGCGGCCGCCAAGTGGATTGTGACAATGTGCTTCGTGAGGTGTTGTTTGCTTGGTTGCTCTTGCGAACTTGTGTTGTTGATCTCCTGCTGAACTCTCTGGGTGGCTATTTCTTGTACAGGCCGACGAACTCGTGGACAAACACCCATGTCGCAGGAGCCGCCTGCCCTCGCCAGGTTATCAGTCCTGGTTGCGGGAGGCACTGGTTGTCGCAATGTCATTGATGCGTTTCCCGGGGACACTAAGCCTCGAGGCCCTCCCAGAAGGGTAGTCGTGCCCGTATTGGGCTCCCGCGCAAGACTCGTTGCAAAGGCAGCGGGTGTTGTCGAAAAAGACTGCAAGGAATTCCTTCTCGAGGCTTGCAGGGATATAAAGGATAGTGCTAGTTTAGAATCAATTGTGTGTAGAAGGTCCAGAAGTAGGGGTGACGTTATGCGTGAACTTTTCGGACCACAGAGTAGCGGTTCCTTGGACCATGGCCGCTAGGACGGCATTTTCTTATAGTGCCCCGTCCTTTGTGCTTGCTGTGTGCTGCGGGTGTTTGTTGAACAGGGTTTCCTCGAGATGGAAGAGCGGTCCTTGAAGACGTTATCTTCTCCCGGTTGCCGCTCACTATCATCGTCGCGCGTTTGCCGTCGCACAGTTTACAGGTATCCGTTAAGGACATTGTCGCACTCGTGGATAGATCCGGGGAGCTCAACTATGAGGTTGTCAATTTCTACATGGCGATGCTCCTGGACGACTGCGGCCGGACTGCCGCTACCATGAAGACATACACCTTTAACTCCTTCGCCTCTTCACTGCTTCTGCGAGGTCCGACAGCTGTTCTCAGATGGGCTAAAGATGTCGACCTCCTGTCTCATGACCTCGTCTTGGCACCAATGCACAAGGACGACGAACACTGGAGCCTTTTGGCCATTGACTTCTCTAGATGTGTTTTGAAAATCTATGATTTTTTCTCGTGTTTGTCATCCAAAGATTCCTTCTGCTCCGCACTTCTGGATAAAACTGTTAAATTTTTGAACACGGTGGCAGGTGTCGCCGGTGATGGTCGCACTTTCGACCACTTCGCTAGCGAGGTCAGCGTGAAAGGTGTCCCTCGGCAGCACGACAGGGCTAGTTGTGGGGTGTTCATGTTGATGTTCGCTTCCTGTTTGGCGAGAGGTTCACGTCCACCTTTTGGTTTCTCCCATAGACATATCTCCTCTATCAGAGCTAGACTAGCTTTGGCGATTTGCGATGTTGGTAGGTAAGCGTCTATCTCTTTGTTGATCATGTAGTGTAGAAGGGTTGACGTAGAAGAACATTTCGTTCTTCTCCGGACGAAATTTGTTCCTTTTCATTTTTTCCGTGAGGAACTGGTGGGTGTTATCGGTTTGGTTCAGAGCAGAACTGGCTGTCACTGCCAGGATATCTCTGGGTGAGCTTGTCATGTCCCCGGCGTGTTTGTCGTCGACAATATTGTTCTTTCTCATTGAATTTCAATTATCACGAACGTCCCCGTTGTTGGGGCGCCTGTTTCGTGATTGAATATCTCGCTTTTGTCATTTTGTGCCTTGTGTGGTGTGATGTTCTGCCCGCATACTCGGATGCATCTGGACTCGAACTAACTCTATGCTTTTCTGCCTCTCTCTCGAACCTCCCCCGTCGTCTACACTCATCTATGCATTTTCACTTTGAATGTTGTGAGGCGTCACAGAGAAAAAAATACAACACATGGGCCTCTTTATACATTTGATGGCCCGTCTGGCCCTCCGCACTGTGTGCTTTGTGATTCCCACATTGAATGCTGTCAATTCTTTGGCCCGGCAAAGCTCCCCTTCTGCACGAGCATTCATACATTCGGTTCCTATGCATTACCCAATACAATGAAAAATTTGAATGTGCCGAGAGGGAAAAACCAAAAGGCGACACCAATGGCTGCTCGAATGCGACGAGATTTGAATTAAGGTGGCGCGGTTGAAAATAGAATTGCATGATTGGACAAAATTGGATGTGGTGACAGAACGATAAATCACAAGGCGAAGCCGATTGATACTACAAAGTGACACAAACTGAATTGAGGTGGCACTCATGAACAAATGACCATTGTATGATTGGTGAACGCCTCAGTCAGCTCTCTCTCTCTCTCTCTCTCTCTCTCTCTCTCTCTCTCTCTC